AAACATTACTTAATGTTAGGGCATTCAAATCACATCAATTGGCTTTCATTTTCTTCTTTTACTCTGTGCCCTCTTGTAAGTTGCTGTTTTATCCCTGTAAATCTTAATAAACTTATTGCCTTCTTCCTTCCATGTTGATATTTAAGCTAGCATTAACTACCAAGAATGTCAACCAGCACTAAATGATCACTGTGTGAGGTGAGAGACTACATTTTCTATTTTCTATTTTTTCTTTCTCCTTTTTGCCTCTCCCTTTCTCTTTAATGAAATATGTTATAAATCTGATATGAGAACCTACAAATGCAAAATTTCTGGACACCAAATTCTAGGCCTTTCCTTTTTCTGGGATCAATCCAATATATTTGAGGTTTCATAGATTTGATATTTCATGCTTCTAGAGACTTGATGGTTTTCTTTTCCTTTGAAAATGATCAGAAAAACTTTTCTGGTTCAAGATGATAGGGTCATCCAACCTGTGGAAGTTGACACTTTGTGGTTAAACAGATTTGACCAGCCAGTTTGGTCTGGTTCTTAAAACACTGGTTAATTGTGCATAGCTTTTTGAAGTTCAAATTTATTGCATGGCCTGGCACATAGAGTGAGATTTCACAATTTATTCTTGTTATTTATGTAAAGCTGACATTGCATGGATAGTCAGAAAAAGAAAAAATTGATTATAATTTAGGGATGAGTATGTTGTTCTACGATCTAAATTATTATTCACTAATTTATTTGTTCCTTACGCTTTGATAGAATCTAATGAAATGAGGACTTCTTGTCTACAGCTGATTCATAGCCTAGTGGACAGAATTATGGAAGTTATGGGGACTCCTTTTGTTCCAGTTGCTGATAATAGTGGATATTATATAGAGCTTTCTGATGTAAGTCTCTAGTTCTCTATTTTCTTTGGTGCATGAGAAAGAGATAGAGGACATGAGGAGAGAGACATGCTCTTCAGCTTGTCGGTCATGATGTACTTATGTATTTTATGTTTACTGAAGGAACCTGAGTATTTATCGGGTAGGCAAGCCAAAATCATTTACAAAGGGAGGTGCGTTGGCATTTTTGGTATTGTGCACCCTGGGGTATTGTTGTCCATTCGAGTAATTTTGTTGGTCAGAGGTTATGTGGGTTCTCTTGGTTCTTGGCTATTTGTGAATCCTTTTGCTCCGTAAAACCCGTCAACTAAGGACATGCCGCGGCCATTCTGGATGCAATGGATTTAAAATCCTAGTTTCCATTTTGTTTTGGAATTATTGGCAAAAAGTTTACAATTTGTATAGTCCTTTACCGTAGCAGTTCCAAATGTGTTTTTGCTGCTTTTTTTCTTTATTTTCTATATTGAATACAAGTGTTCATTTTTTCTTTTACTTTTAATCGTCTTCATTAATATAATTTTTTGCCAATGAAGAGGTATTGGTGTTTTTTTTTTTTTTTTTTGTTAGACTTTGGTTTAGAATGGCCTAGGTTTTATCTAGTCATTTTCTGTTTTCCTTTGTTTCATGGTGATTTTTACATGGTGATTGAATTTTAATATATTGTCAAACGCAATAAATTGTAGAATCAAATTTCCTAGGTTTTCATTCCTTAGGCTGCATTAACCTATCAGTCATCTAACACTAACTCAAAACTTAAATTACTTCCTTCACTTCTAAATTTTGCTCTGTTTCAAATTGAATAGGTATGAGTATTTTGTCTCCTTACAACTTATATCCTTTACGTTTGATAAAGTTAGTTGTGTCCACGTAGGTACTTCAACGCAGGACAACATTGAAATATGTTTTCTACTTTGAGAAAGTGGACATTATTTTGAAACATCCTAAATTTGTGAGATGGACATTTAACTTGAAATGAAAGAAGTAATAATCTCATAACTTTCTTTGTGTATTTGAAAGATTGCTGAAAATGATTCACTTGTAATTTTGTAGCCAATTTTGTGTTGAAATCCTGATTTGCATACCTAATGCCTTTGTTATAGAAATTTTTTCATGGTTGGAACTCCATGTAGTGAACTAAAGAATAAATTTGGCACTGAGTTTGTTAAGGGGTTTGGGTTGGGGTGGGTTCTAATAAAATAATATCAACTCTCTTCACTTTGCTCAGTCCCTTACAATTTCTATTTTGGTAGGAATTAGAACAACCATGCTGAAATTATGGAATTAAAATTTTCCTTTTTACAAGTTTAGAAATGTACCAAACCATGATATTGAAATGAATTAAATTAAAGTTATGAAAATTCATTTGTTTATTATAAATAACTAACTGCAAACTTGAACAATGAGTGCAGCTGTATCTTAGCTGGTAAATTTTGTTGCTTGTGCCAAAGACTTGGATTAAATGTTTGCAATGACCAGGGCTTGGGGGTTTAAGGGAAGGGGAGGACAACAATCTTGTTTTGTTGCCCACACTGGGACTAAAAGAAAAACAGATCAGATAGAAATCAAACTAATGAGACTGATGCTTCTCTTTGGTGTATTTGATCTCATGTTTTGCCAATTTATCAGTGAATATGAGCTCCATGTAATTTATCCGGAACTTTGTAGAACATTTTTTCCTTCATTTTTATTCTATGGAAAATCTCTAATTTGAAGTTCTTCCTTTAGCATGTTGCATTACATAGATGATTTTGCTCCGTATTGCTCTCCCCACTTTGTTTTCTTCTTACATATTATAATGCATACTTTCTAGATGCATCAGAATCGAAATATCATGAATTGAAATTTTAAGTGCCTTGGTGAGTAAGAGTTTTATATCTATCATATTTTTGTCGTATGGTGTTCAGGTGTTGAATAATTTTGATATTCCTGATCCGTGCTTCTTCTTGGAACTTGACTTGGAGAGCGTTTAATACGACATGTTCCATGACAGCTGATGTCAGTTTTTTCCATGTTTCTCTTTTCCTCTCCTCAGGTTATCATGGTTATTGTGATTAAATATTATGGTTCATTTGCTCATTTACAGGCTTTATTTTCTGTATTGGAATTCATTCTTTATAATTTTATTTATTTATGTATTTTTGCTTTGAGGTTTTAATAATCTGTCTTGTGCTTACAAAGTTTACACCTATCTTCCTTATTGAACAAACATGTACATCAACATTGGAGTAAGAATGTTTGCTTCAGATTTCTGAACTGCTGATGTAAAGAAATTGTTGATCAAATTGGCAATGTGGCCTTAATTGTTGATCAAATTGGCAATGTGGCAGTAAGGCCTGACTTAGCTTATTTAGAGTACAGTTTTGAAATATTTCCATGTTAGTTGACTCAGTGGCGCCCATGGAGAGGAAGTAGGTTTGATGAGTCCTTGTTACCGACGTTGAGAACATTTTTTTGTAGCTAACTTCAGGTGTTTTCGGTTCATACCGGGATGACTAGCTTTTGTAAGGTCAACATTCTCCAAAATGGGACAAAAAAGGTGTTCTAGGTTCATACCCAAATGATTAGCTTTTGTAGGGTCAACATTCTCTAAAATCAAAGAAAAACTGTTAAGATGAAACAGAATATTGTTAACATCTCAGGCATTAATCTTATGTCCAGCAAGGTTACTCTGGTACAGATAGAAATATATATAGCCCATTGAAACTAAAAAAATTTGAGTGCACTATGTCGGTTGCTTTATGGCAGTTATATTTTGGTGATGCATTTTTGTTTTTCTTTCTAGATTTAACGTATAAACATTCATCATTGGTCAGTTGAATCAAACATTAGATATGATTTGATCGTATTTGATTATAAGTTATTAAGACTTTGTGATGATACTTAAGAGGTAAAGAGTCCCTCTAATTATCTTTTTTCCACACTATTTACACTAACATGATGATGTCAACATTATGATTTGCACTGTTTACCATGGCCTGTATTAATTTTACAAAGGTAAGTTCTCATGTAATAAATTCTGCAATTGCCAAGTTTTGGTGTAAAAGCTGGATCAAACTTTACACCTGCATCTGTAAGGGGTGTTGGAGGCCGGGAATTCAAAGATTTGGTTAACGTTTCTTGGTTGACCTTTTTTTGCGGACACTGCTGAAGAATCCTATTTTTGTGTGGGAATTCAAATTGAATGTTCCACTTTGTCAATGACACAAAATTTGAAGAATGTGCTATTTTGATTCTTACATAAAAAATTTCACTCTTGAAGCGACATAAAACGATAAAGGACTGCATTTAAAGTTAATATTTTAATGAAGGGTAATATTAAAAAAAAGCATTTCATTTTAGGATAGTTGATAACATTTTAAAATATCTTAAAATAGTAAAATTGATATTCAAACCTGTTTTTATTTGGGAAAGGAAGAATTCTACTTGAAATAATATTTCCACGTTTAGTGTTTATGGAACTCTTAAAGAATTACATTTTGTTAATTACATTTTGTAAGGAGTGGATTGTGAAAATACTAATTTCTCTTTCTTTTCTTACTTTTTTTATATCAAAAAAGTAAAATAGTTAAAAGTAAATCTTTTATTTATCATGACTCATTTGAGTGGTGCATGTTTTGGTTCAAAGCATAGAATATATGATTCGAATCTCTCTTTATTTTTTTTAATTCTTATTATAATTTTCTACACACTTTCTTTTATCTCCTTTTTAAAGGAATGGATATTGACTTAAATCTAGGTTCAGTTTCGTATTCACCTCTCCGTTAATAAAAAAATTCTCTCTTATTGAAAGGTTAAAATTAAAGTAAATCATTTTTTATTTAGTAGTTTTAATAAAAAAATTTCAATTAATTTATCAGCAATTATGTATCATTACACCCACTCAAGAACTTGTTAAGCTTAACACCCCAAAAGAAAAAAAAAAAAAAGAAAAAGAAAAAGAAAAACTGGATTGGTTAATAAATATAAATACAGCGTTCTCTTTCTCGTTGCATCCATTCTGTTAGAATCAGGAATTGGAAGGCACATGTATTCATAAAACCAACACCTGTCAAATATCTTACACATAAAAAGCCAGAAAGCTGCAACGTCTGGTCCTAATGAGCTTATAAATGAGCAAAGATAATGAATGATGTGATTCATTCTACATTAATTGATAGTAAAATCAAAGTGAAAAAGCAAAGAAATAGAGAAACGATTGAGAGATGGCAAAAGAGCAAGGAGGACATGAAGCATGCAAAGGCAAAGGCAAAGCTATCAGAGGAGGAAAGTTTGAGGGTGGGCTATAAGCATGGTACTCCTCTTGAGGGTGGCAAAATAGCTGACTCTTCTCCGGCTGACATATTTTCTAGTGCCCACAACATTAGTTCAAGGCAGGCCTCCCAATCTCATCCATCACTTTCTTCTGCTCAACACTCTCAATCTAGTTCTAACTCTGGGAAAACACCACCAACCAATGCTGATTCTGTCTCCAACAACAACAACAACAATAACAACACCACCTTTGCCTCGATAGAGCAACAATCATGTGATCCGTTTGATGATAACTTATTAACCTCTTAATTTTTGTGATTAGGATTGAATTCTGATAATAATAAAAAAAAAATCCAATAGGATTAACAAATAATTCTCTCAATCCAGTTTGCTATTTTAATGTTTTCTTTTCCTTTTTTTCTTTGGGTTTTTTTTTTTTTTTTCTTTGTGTGTAAGTTGAGATTTGTTGATCTCCAAAGAACTAAGCCGATGATTCAATAATTATTGTTAACTCAATAGTAGATAATTGAGAACATATTTTATATTGGTTAATTCTTATTTCTAATGGTAAGAATAAGAATTTGTTCTTATGGCCATTTAGTTTGATTATTGGAGTTCTCTCTTATTTGGTTTGATTACAATATGACATGATATATTTTCGATGTTGGTTTAATAATATTTGTTCAATTATTTTATAATAATTTTTCTTTATTTTTAAATTTAACTTAAAATCATTAAAATTTAGTTGAAATTATATTATTCATTTTTGGATAAAGTATTGAAAATTTTTATTGATTTTTAAATAATAAGAAAGATATTTTTCCAATATAAGTAGTAAAAAAAATCTTTTTTCAATAGAATTAAGATGCAGATGAATTAATTGCCAAAAAAAGCATGCAAAGATATTAAAGTCTTATGTGTCATCAACCCTTTAAAAAGGTGGATGGTGGGAAATAATAATCTTACATGTCCTTAGCCAAACAATCCATTAGAGATTTCTATGAACTTGGTGTCCAGTATGTCATTAACCAAACAACCTATTAGAGATATCGTGGACTTGGCGTCCGTTTGATGAAGGTTCAATGTTTGTTTAGGGCCTCACGCAGCTAATCATTAGAGGTGGAACAAAGATTTAAACTGTTGTACTATTTTGTTGATTTTGTCGTTTTGGAATAAGAAGAGAGTTCAAATTAAAGTCCATACATGGACGTAAAAATATTATCATATTAATAAAAATATACATATTTCATTTAATTTTTAATTTAAAAATATTGATAAAATATATTTAATATTTAAAAATAATTATAATATAAATAAATAAAATTAGCTTGCCTTCGAACTTGAACTTAGGGTTTTAATGGCTACCTTTATCTAAATACTATATATATGAAATAAATTCCAAATTTTTATTTTATTTTTCTCAACCAATAGGTAGATTTTATTAATGAAACCCTAGGATGGAAGTACAGAGATACAGGGGCAACAAAACCAGAAACACCCCATACCAAAATTTCCGCAGCAACAAAAACCAAATCTTTATATATAACATATAGTCTAATGGCTTGAGAGAAAAATATTCCGTCATTTTCTAGAAATGGTCGCATGAATTACACAAATCATATATTATGATCATTTGAATAAGTTGATCACGAACAAGTCAAACATCTCTCCAGTCACAGTTCAAAACTTGTAAGAACATTAACCCGCCCAACCAAAAAGTCACAACCATGCATACATATGTGTTTTTGCACTGACTTAACATTGATCTAATCCAGTATTTTCATATATACATACATATATATATATATTAATGTTTGAATTTAAAGACAAATAATTTTTTTAAATAATTAAATATCAAATCACAACATGCTCATAACTTTACTTATATAATAAAAGCAACCTTGTTGTTTTAGTTGAGAAAATCTTTGATGATTGCGTCCAGAATTTTTAAATTGAATCTTGTCTCCTTAAGAAAAGGGACAGTTTCTCCTTAATTACACCGAACTCCAATATTTCAGTCAAAATAAATAATAGAACAAGAAAGAAAGAAACATAATTTTGTTTTTCACAAAAATAAATTGTAATCTAACAATAAAAAAAATTATAAATATTAAAATTTAAATATCAAATTTATTAAATATAATCCCTTGAAAATGATTATATAATTTAATTTAATTAAATTTCATGTTAAAGAAAAAAAATTGCGTGCCCACCACGTTATTTTTCTTGTTAAGGAGGATTTTTCTAGATTATTTTCCCGTCTCTGACCATTGTAAGGAAGCAATTAATACCAAATAACGTACAATTTCTTGACAGAAACACCTGATAACTTGGTCAATGGCAGCACATCCTAACAGCGACTATTTAATCAAATATGATTCCTCATGGTTTCTCCTCCTTTGACAATGATTAACTTACAAGTTTTCTTCTGGTTAATTTCGTGCACGTTGAAAATTCCTAAAAATATTTTATAAATAAGACTTTCTAGAAAAAGAAAAGATTTCTCATTCCCAATAAGTGGCGTATTAATTTTTTTTTGTTTAGAAAAAATTTTAAAATTCCGTGGATGGGATTAGAATACCTGATTAAGATAATTTGAAAAAAATAATAAATTTTTATAATAAGTAATAGGTCATGGCAAGATCCTAATTAACCCCTCTTGTACATGATATATATATATATATATATATATATATATATAACGAACTAGTCAAAAATTAACAATAAAAAAGTTTGCAAAATGAAGTGGATCAACAAAATCAAATTGTAAAAGTAGTATATTTCATTATACTTGTGATTTTACTACACTTGCAATTTAATTTTATTGATTCAGTACATTTTAATATAGTATTTTTATTAATTCTCACTTGTAAATAATTATATATTAACTTATTTCATCTTTCTTTCATGTTTACATAACTGTAATTTTCTTATTTTCTCACCAACAAAGTGTGTGCGCAAAACTAGTCTATACTAATATATTAAACCTCTGATTAAATTTGGGGTTAGGAGTTAAGTAACACCAACTTAGTGAATTGACAAAAGAACATCATTATTTAATAATTAAAAAAATTATTAAGGGTTTGTTGGTTTTTACTTTACTTGAAAATATGGTTTAAACAATATCTTTTAAATTAGCAGTTGTGCATTTTTTTAAAATTTCAAAACTATACGTTCAATTAATATTTTTTTTATGTGGGATTGTAACCCTTTGCCATAGCAAATACTTTTGAGTTTTAAAATACACTATAATTCAAACATTTTGCATTGGAGATATATAATACATTGTTATTATTTTTTGTTAAAGAAAGTTATTTTCAAGACTTGTTTCTTCACGAATTTGTAGTTCATGAAGATTTTTCATTTGTGATTTCGGTTGTAGTTCTCCTTTTCAAGCCTTGTCTTGAGCCTAAGATGAAATCTTTAAAAAAACAAATGAAATGGCTTCAACGGTGTTGTAAATGTTACTTTCCTTAAAGCTTATTTTGTCCCTATTAGTCATGGTATGGAAAAAGGAAATAACTGAGATACCTCCAAGATACAATCAAGCTTATTTGATGTCACCTTGCCCTTGTCATATCAAACCACTAAACATATTTTGATAAGTAATGAAAAACATCTAACTTTGAATATTAATTTATGCAAAAATAATATCAAAGTAACTAGTCTTTATTTGTGAAAGAATAGGAGAAAAGAGAGAGTGATTTCAGATAAAACTATCATGAACATTTTCTATCTCTTTAAATGAGCATTCACAATCTCTATTTATGGAGATTAAATGCTAAGGTTGTGATTCTTTGATTATGTTGTTAATTTCAATCAACGATCACTTCCTTTAATTAGAAAGATACCTTTCTAAATCATCATAGACAAATTGGTTCATTTGATTGATCATTCTTTTCATTTCATAGAAATTATTTTTCACATTTTAAAAAATTATATTTTTTCACTATAGTAGTCGACTGTTCGCATAAGGTAGTTGATTGCCTCTTTATATTTTTTGTTCTCAAAACATTCCATGGAAGAGGGTAGTCGATTTCTTCCTTACGATAGTTGACTTTGTTTAATTCTAGAATACTGAAAGCTTATAGCAATCTATAGTGCAATCAATTCTAAACATAGCAGTCAATTCCCTAGGGTAGGCAGTCGATTGTTCCTTTGTTAAGCTTTGTATCGAGACTTTGGTACTTTTCTAGAATGCATTGCAATCAACTTTTTTAATATAAGTAGTTGACTACTCCTCAAGACAAGAACATGGCAATTGATCGCTCTTGCTAAGGCAGTCAACTATTCCTATAGTATGCCATCTTTTATTGATTCTTTAAGTCGAGAATAAATCTTTTTTTATCATAGAGCATTACTTTAAGGTATTAAATAACTTAAATATGATTTCTCTTATGATTAAGTTTTTACTTAATCAAACTATTTTTATATTTTGAAAATATTTCAAACATTCCTCTACCTATTTTAAAAAATAAGAAAATTTCAATATTTTCAAAAATTTTATGCATAGGTGAAGATATCATATAACATGATTTTACAATCTTCACTCTAGTGATAAAGTGTTGTTAAGCTAATCAAAATTGTATGGTACATTTTAAATATTTGAACCAACTATTTTATGTGATTAGTCATACACTAAACCACACATAAACTTTTTCATATCTCATTAAAAGATAATATAGCATGCTTGAACACAATTTCAATGGTCATGTGTCTTTATATATTCATAAGTGTTTTCGAAGCCAAGCTCTTTACTTTTACAAACGGCACCACTCCCACTCGTATGATACACTACATTAAGAATGCAACCATAAAAGCATTCCAACACTAAATTTACATGTTATAGATCCATTAAGAGTTACACTTATCCTTATTTTATAACAAAGGGTTCAAATTTATCTACCTTAGGATGCTTTAACTTAAGTACTTCTATTCACATTCAAATTATATACTTTGACTCATTAAAACGTAAGATTTAATGTGCAATTAAGCATTGAGTAGATGTTTCATCATTTGTGACTAATTGAATTAACTATCCCTCATGGAAGTCTAGACATCATTCCAATACAATTCCTTCATCAAAGGATTTGTTTCATTGGCTTTGACAAAATATATGGTATACCTTTGTCAAATTTTCACATAAATATGCTTTAACTTGTCTAGATATCAATTTCTTCTTTTTAAGCCTTTGATAGCGTAATTTAACTATCACTATAATCTTATAGTAAATTGGCTTAGTCCCTAAAGGAATTATAAATTCACTTCATTCCTTACTTGCCATTTTTAATACTATAAAACCTATAAATTGTAGAACTTTATCTTGTTTCTTTAGATTCTAAGAAACACATTC